ATAGATAGATAGATAGATAGATAGATAGATAGATAGATAGATAGACAGATAGATAGATAGATAGATAGATAGATAGATAAAGCAGTTCACGGCTCTGAACATGGCTGGTCTCTACTCATCACAAAACCACGGTGGTCACAGCAGGGAGCCTGTTTTTGGGGGGGGGACCTGCTGCGTCCACCTTGAGTGGTGGCTGCCCAGATGTTTCCAGGAAGGACACCAAGAGAGGCCGGGGGTCGCCCCCTCCCTCCCGCCCACAGTCCTTCACGACCAGCTCCGGCTGTTGAGGCGAGAGCGACCCGGAGGCAGGTTGGGGGGAGCTCCAGGGTCAGGAGGGGGTCTTGTGGGGAGGGGGCCCAGAAGCATCGGGGGGGCTCACCTGGTCCATTAACTGGGAGTACAACTCATAGCAGTTGTCAAAAATGTACTTGTAGGTGGAATCCAGGCAGGCTCGGACACAGTCCTTCACGACCATGCTGGCACGGGGTGGACTCTGCAGTTCAAGGACCTGTGCGGAAAACACCGGCAGAGAGGAAGCTGAGGCCCCGGAGGTAGCCCAGCCGGTGCCCCCGATGCTGTCCCCTTGTCCTGGCTAACCATGGCAACCAGCAAAGCTATGGGGCCTCCTCTTTGCTTTCCCCATCTGCCTAAAGACTGGGAAGCATGAAGAGGCCCTTTGTCTGTAGCAGGAGGAAGTGGGGTGGGTTTAGATTAGCCTCCCATAGGAGGTCTACTGCTCCCAGAGCACCGTCCTGCCCGAGAGCATGTGAGGGAAGGGCTCCTTGAAGAGCATCGGACCACAGGGTGAATCCAAGGGGATGTGGAGGAGCAGGAAAATCGCCAGCCACACGCTTTGCCTTTTGTTTATTTAAACATTCATAGGCTGCTCTCTAGCATAGCATCTCAGGGCTTACAGGTTACAAAGTAAAATTATAAAATAATTTTAAGGCACAAGATATTTAAAACAATTTGAAAACAAATAGCACAAAATCAGAAGCCTCAAACTTGAAAAACGTTGCACTGAAACCGGTGCAGAGGCTGATCCTCAACCCCCAAAGGTTTGATGACCTATTTCCAGGTAGAACATAAAGCAGCTGTTCCACCCAAGCGGAAGTGGGCCACCTGAGAGGAGGAGGAGGAGGAGGAGGAGGAGGAGGAAGGCTCTTCTGGCTCAGCTCTTCAGAAGCCCCCCACCCACCCATCCAAATCCCTCGTGAGGTTATGGCGAGGCTATTCCAGACCCCTCAAGGGACTCACCCCCTTGCCCACCAACCCTCCAAAAAAGCACCCACCGGAAGGAATCCTGCGGGTGGGAGCAGGGGGAGAGGGTTGTGGTGGTCAATATACCTCTAGAACAAGACCTGGAATTACCTTCATGCGGAAGAATGTGATGCTTGTGAGCAGGTCCACAGTTGACTTCAGATCCTGGAGCCTCTCGGGGCTGCTGGCTGGAAAGTTTTCCTGGTGAGAACAGAAGATGGGCGTCTGGAAAAGGCTGGTGCAGGCCAGCGCTGAGTAGCCAACCATCCATCCATCCATCCATCCATCCATCCATCCATCCATCCATCCATCCATCCATCCATCCATCCATCCAGCCTTCCTCCCTGGAATCCCCACAGCAACCCCAGGTGAGGAAGGGCTCCGAGGGGGGGGGGGCTGTCCGGAAAGGCAGCTCTGTCCCAGAAGGGCCTGGCCTGGCCTGGCCGGCCTTCCTCTCAAGGGGATCCCAAGGGCTGAAAGCTGCCTGGAGGGCTTCCCCTACCACCCCCCCTGGGTCCCCTGAAAGGGGATGCATGCCCCCCCCGCATGCATGCTGGGCCCGAGCCTGCAGACAGGAAGGGCTGCCTGAGCTTCGTCTTCCTCCTCCTGGAGACGCTCTGCTGGATGCCAGCCTATGGGTGGCAGGAGGAGACACCCCCCCCATGGCTCTCCAGCACCATGAGCAAGCCATGGGCTTCCCTTTTCTGCTGTCCCGTAGGCAAATCCTGCCCACCCTCTCTGCCCTCATCCTGCTACTCCTAAGAGAACCGTATCCCCCCTCCCCCATGGCAAAGAATGATTACCAACAGAAGATGGGTGTCTGGAAAAGGCTGGTGCAGGCCAGCACTGAGTAGCCATCCATCCATCCATCCAGCCAGCCTTCCTCCCTGGAATCCCCACAGCAACCCCAGGTGAGGAAGGGCTCCGAGGGGGGGGGGGGCTGTCCGGAAAGGCAGCTCTGGTCCAGAAGGGCCTGGCCTGGCCAGCCTTCCTCTCAAGGGGATCCCAAGGGCTGAAAGCTGCCTGGAGGGCTTCCCCTACCACCCCCCCTGGGTCCCCCGAAAGGGGATGCATGCCCCCCCCCGCATGCATGCTGGGCCCGAGCCTGCAGACAGGAAGGGCTGCCTGAGCTTCGTCTTCCTCCTCCTGGAGACGCTCTGCTGGATGCCAGCCTATGGGTGGCAGGAGGAGACACCCCCCCCATGGCTCTCCAGCACCATGAGCAAGCCATGGGCTTCCCTTTTCTGCTGTCCCGTAGGCAAATCCTGCCCACCCTCTCTGCCCTCATCCTGCTACTCCTAAGAGAACCGTATCCCCCCTCCCCCATGGCAAAGAATGATTACCCCCCCACACATACACACACATACACCAAGGCAAAGGCATGCACAGGGGGATGGATCGCTCTTTCCCCCCTCTGGCTGGCAGGCTGGCTGGCGCCATGTCGGCCTCTCCTGCCTCTCCTCTGACTGTTCTGGGGCTCTCCCACCCCTGCCACCCCTCCAAGGCCCTCTTTTGGGGAGGGGTCTGCCCCCCTCCCCACGCCATGCGGCTCAGGCCGCTTTTGCTCTGGAAAAGAAGGAGCCCCCGAGAGCTTGGGTGTGGCCTCCTCCTCCTCCTCCTCCTCCTCCTCGTCCTCCTCCTCCTCGTCCTCCTCACTGTCCCTTCATGGCTTCAGCACCCTGGAGAGCTCCGTGCGGGCAGAGGGAGGCTCCGGCTGGAAAGAGGAGGGCCTTCTTGGGGCTTCTGGAGGTTTTGCTCCCCCAGGCCCTGATTCAGCCCTTCTTTCTCTTCATCCCTGAATGAATGTCAGCAACACACACACACCCACACACACACCTACCCTGTACTTGGAGAGGTCGATGCGCAAGGAATTATGCAGCTGATCCAGCAGTTTTATGAACTTTTCTCTCTGCGTGGGAAGTAAAAACACAGCCCTGCAGGTCACAGACGCGCTGCTGGGCACCTCGGAGGCCCCACTAGCGCTCTGGCTTCTCCTAGGCGAGCAGAAGCAGCCAAGAGGGTCCTTCCCTGTTGCCCATTCCCAAAGGCCCACGAAAGCCGAGGCTCACCTCCGTGCAAAACCCGCCGCTCCTCCGAGAAGGTGCCCCAACCCCCTTCTTCCGCTGCAGCTCAGAGACCTCGGCCTGGGGGGTGGCGAGTGGCCCAGGCCTCCAAAGCCCGGCCCTTTTCCCACCTTGCCATGGCTGGGGAGGAGGCACAGTGCCGCAGCCCTGGGTCCAGCCCAGAGCAGGGACGGGCTCGGACGGGCTGGGAGGCCGGACGGGAGCTGCCCAAAGACCAGGCTGCCCCCAGAAGGTGACCCGGCCTCTCTCCTTAGGACCTTGGGCTCCCCTGGCTCCCCACAAGGGGCGGCAGGAGCCAACCTTCCTTAGCTGCAAAGCAAGCCCCCCTTTTGGGCAAAGGCATGCCTTCGAAACAGAACGACTTGCGTGGCCCGGGCTGGCCCACCGGCACCTTCCGGGTGACACCCCTGCCTCGCCTCAAGGCCCCTTTGCCACCGGATGCCAGCCAGGCGCAAGCCACAAGGAGCCAGAAGGGCTGAAATCCCTACACCACAGGGCGAGGCCCCTGAGCTGGAGGGGCCCTCCGGGCATGAGGAGAGAGAGGGGCAAGAGAAAGGACCTGGCGGAGTGGGGATTCCTGGGAAGGGGGGGGCTGCAGACCATCCAGATGCACCCATGCCTCCCCACCCTCCCCTAATCCATACAGGATGGGTTTTCCCTCCCTCCCTCCCCCCCCCCCCCACATCCTGGTTGCCCTCCTCTGGTCACCACAGAGCTCCATCTCTGGCTGGCGGCTGCCATGATGGGGTTGGCCTCATAGCCATCTGTTGAGCCACAAATTGGATTGGCATTTGCGTCAATGGTCAATTAGCATTAAATGCGAAGAGCGAGCGAGAGACCTCGGGCATCGGAGGATTAACTTTGGGACGTTCAGAGCATGGGGCAAACGGGAGGCAAGCAACCCAAAATCAGGAGCACCGGTGTGTGTGGGGGAGGGAAGGAGTGGGGGTGGACTCCGTTCTCAGAAGCTGTACTGAAACTCCTGGGGTCCGGATGGAAGGATGGAAGGAAGGGGCTTCCAGAAGACAGTTGAGTCTCAGGTGGCCAAAGCCGGCACCTTCAAGAACCTCCCTCCTGCCCTTCGGGTCACGCAGGTCAAAAAAGGCACCCGCATCTGCTCAGAGGGGATGCCGGTCCATTTTCAGGTCAAGGGGCTCCCCCTGCACCCCACGGGGCCCTTCTCCGCCTGCCCCTGAGGCAACAAGGCCCACCTCAGACTCCTGCTTTGAGGTCTCACCTTCTGGTGGGCAGACCCGGCCTCCTGTTTCAGTGTTATTAAGATAACCTGCTTGTTTGTGACTGAGTCTCGTAACTAGCATGTGTTGTTGTTTTTTTAATTGCATTTCTTCTCTAAATCTTATCGAAAACTGTCTTGAGTCCCAGCTCTGGGAGGAAGGCTAGGGAAGAAAACATGCAACCAGCTGCTCCAGCTAAAGAGAGGAGGGGGGAACCACTCTGGCTCTTGGCAACATGCATTTGGGTGCAACTCCACAGATACTCACCTCAGGACATCAAAACAGAAGGCGGAGGGGGGGGCGAGGGATGCAGGCCGGCCACTGCACTGAAGGCCCACCAGAGAGCCTCCCGGCAGTTTCCAAATTAAAAGGCTCCAAAGGAGCTGAGAGGAGGAGGAGATGGTGGTGGCCCAGGCAGGAGGTGGGTGGCCGAGGGCTGCTGAGCTGTCCGCTCTCCAGCCCCCCAGGACAAACCAGGCCCTCCTCCCTTGGCCTCTGCCTCGCGCCAGAGGAAGGAGGGAGCCTTCTCCCAAAGGTGTCATCCTTATTCTCAAGGAAGAAAGGAGGAAAACGGAAACAGGACACAGGACGTCCATCGGGCAATGATGGGAACAAACGGCCGTGCTCCCACCCTTCAGCAAATGTCCGCCCCCTCTCTGAGGGCAACCACGGCATGACCGTGATTCCTGCTCAGGGTGTGATTCTGACATGCAAGAAGAACTGTGCTTTGCTGATCTCCAGCTACTGCCGCTGTGGCCGGCTTTAACACTGGCACCTGAGGGGCCACAGACTCATGGAATGGGAAGGGGCCAAGAAAGGCCGTCGGGTCCAGCCCCCCCCCGCCCGCTCAAGGCAGGGATCCAATTCAAAGCAGGTCTGACGGAGGGCGGCTCCGTTTTCTCTTCAAGGCCTCCAGTACCACCACCACCACCACCACCACCCCCTGAGGTCACGGATTCCCTTGTCATACCGCTCTAACAGTTAGGAAGTTTTTCCTGATATTCAGCCTAAATCAGTAGCTTGAGCCCAATATTATGTGTCCTGCCCTCTGGGATGATCAAGCCCCTCCTCTGTAGGAGGACCTTTCAGGTCTTTGGCAAGGGCTCTCCCATCACCCCTCCGCCTCCTTTTCCGAAGGCTAATCAGGCCCAGCTTTTCCAGTCTTTCCCCCCAGGGCTTGCTTCCCAGTCACCCTTGTGGCTCCCCTCTGAACTAGTTCCATCTTCTCTGAATCCTTCTTAAACTTCGGTATCCAGAACCAGAGCATTCAAGCACTCTGGATGAGGCCTAACCTTTGCCAAACAGAGGGGAGCGAGTAGGCTCCCGCCTGGAAGGACTAAAGCTTCTTGGAAGTGTCCAGCTGGGTGGGTGGGGGCCCAGCCTCCCTCCCACCCCCCAATGCCACCGGAAAGGAAGGAAACAAGCCTTTACCCCAAAGTTGGTGGCAGCAAATCGATCCGAGGCAGAAACGTTGGTTGTGGCCGTGGTGTGTGCGTAGAAGGCGTTGATGTTGGCCAGCAGGGTGCTCATGACGGCCGGGACGCCCGGGCACATGTACTTGGAGGACAGGCACGAAAAATGCCTATGGGGCAAAGCAGGCGGGCAGCTGTTGAGCAAGGTGGGGCAGAGCAAGGCGGGGGCCCCCTCCGCTGTGCCCTGCTGGCAGCCCGGTCTCCCTCAGCTGGACCCCCCTCTGGCTTAGCCTTTCCGAGGGGGTGGCCGCTGCCTCAGGGGGTGGGTCTGTGCTCTGGACGCTGCCCACACAAGTCTCAGCTCCATCTCGTATGCCTTCTGGGAAAGGCTGGGGTTTCTGCTTCTGTGCCTGGCGTGCCCCAAGAACACACACCCCCTCCCAGCCTAGCCCACCTCTCAGGGCTGTTGCCCCACTCAGGGCTGTGCGGAAGTTTTTGAGCACACCTCCTATCCATTCCTGCGACCCACGTGTGTGTGGGGGGGAGCTGGGCCGGACCAGGCACTGAGACCCACCTCTGGACAAAGGAAGAGCTGCCCTGCAGGACAGCCCGAGTCTGCAGCCCTTGGGAGGAGGGGGGGGAAGAGAAGGGGACCCAGCCATGGCTGGGGCTACTAATCCAGCCCTCCTGGCCCTCTCCCCCCTCCCCTCCTCTGCCCTCATCCTCCCTGCCCCTCCCCCAGCAGCCCCTTTGTTCCCAACTCAGCAGGCAGGGCTACCCACGTCATTGCCTGGTAGATGTACTCAATCCCGTAGCGCATGGCGAATTCATCCACAATTTCTTGCGCAGCATCGTCAAAGTAGACCTTCCAGGCTTCTTCTCCCTTGATGGCCGGGATCTGCACCGTCCCGTTGGATTTCACCTCCGTCAGGTAGTGGAAGATGCTCTGCAAAGGGAAGGCCTCCTTGCTTGCATTGGGAGCGCTGGCCTCAAAGGGAAGGGCCTCCCACCAAGCTTGTCTCCCCCCCCCCCCAAATTCAGCCAGTCTTGCTGCCCACAGGACGAAGCTCCCACGCCGGCCACGGCCCTCCAATGTGGACCCCCCTGCGAAAGGCGTTTGAGCCAGGATGCGTCCTGGAGGCCACTGGGGGAGAGGGGGAATCCCCCTCCTTCTCCAGGAAAAGCCTTTTCACTTAACCTTTAATCCTTTGACCCAAGAACTTGCCTTCCTTCCAGGGAAGCCCCAGAACCAAAGCAGAGGGAATTCCCTGAGCAGAGGCCTTAGTAGTGGAAAGAGCAGGGCCCAGAGGCTGCCTGTCTTGACCCCCCCCACCTGCTCTCTGGCCCCACAGCTTCTCCCCCAAACCCATCCCCTCCCCTACCCCCCCCCTTGCAAGGGGCACCTGTGGCTGCCTCGGCCTGAGTGCGTCGGGGTGTGTGTGTGTGTGTGTGTGTGTGTATTCGGGGGGGGGAGTGATTCCCTGGAGGCGGCCTCCTTACACCCACCTCATGCAAACAGGTGTACTGGATGTGATACGGGGCCACCTTCTCCTCCCCTTTGATCTCCACGTTGAGCTTCAGCCGGACGGCCCCAGAGACGGCGGATTTATCGGTCCGCTTGTCTAAGGATCGAGAGGCGCGACACGTTGGCGGGAGCCGAGGGGGCTCGCCTCCCGGCTGCCTTTCCTCCCAGAGACCATCCTGCCCCCCCCAGGCAGCACTGGCAAAGGGGGCCACAGACCTGCCCCCCATTCCCCTCCCCAGAGTGGTCGGGCGGAGAGAGGCGCAGGGAGGGGCCCTCTTGGGTTCACTGAGGCTGGGAAGGGGGGGGAAGAGGCCACACAGTGTGCGCACGCCCGGGCCGTCGGGGTGGTAGGCCCCCCTCCCCGTGAGGAAGAGAGAGGGGAATCCGAGGCAGGCGGGCCAGGCTGGCTGGGCCGGCAGCTCTCATCCCGAAGGCTGAGGTGGTGAGGACGGGAGCAGACTGGGGGCAAGGGGGGGGGGCAACGACTGCTCCAGGCAGAGGACACGGCCCTCCTCAGAAGGTCCTCCGGCTTGTGGGGAGCCCAGGAGTGGGCGGGCAGAGGATGGGGTCCCCTCCGGAAGAGGCCGAGGGAGGGAGGGAGGGGGGCCCTCCTCCTAGGGGCCCCCTCCCTTTCCCCGCCTGGATCTCTTTCGGGGGCCAGACTCTCCGGACTCACCCAGGTTGTACCAGACGTCCATCTCGCCGCTGAGGGTCCGCACTTCAATGACGGTTTGGCCCAAGAAGTCGTCCGACTCCTTCTTGAAGTGCTGCTTCACGCGGGACTTGATGTCATCATCCTCGTCCCAGACTCTGACTTTGATTCGGTCTGTCGAGTTGTGGCATTCACTGGAAAGGGAGGGCCGCGGGTGTCGGGGGTGTGTGAATGCTGAGGGTGGACTGGGGGGGCCGAGGCAGAGGCCTCCCTCCCTCCTTTCTGGCTTGGCTGAAAGGCCTTGGGGGGGCCCTTTATGCAGCAAAGGCAGGACACGTCCCCCACGAGGGTGTGCGTCGGGGGGGCCCTTCCCCATCAAGGGCTGCTCTCCGCAGGAGACCCACCTCCTCGGGGGCCTCCCTCTTTCTCTGAGGCCTCCGACAGCAGCCCCACCAGGAGGAGAAAGAGCCCCCAGCCCCTTCTTCCCCACACGGTGGCCGAGCAGGCCTGGAAGGGAAGCGGACAAGCGGTTCTGCCCTGGCCTGGAAACAATGGTGTCACAAAACCACTCGCTTCAGAGACGCGGGACGCAGCTGGAAACCCACCCAGGTTATGAAGCTGGAGACCCCAAAAAGGCAGGCTGGATCCGGCCTATGGAAAGGGGCTGGGCTGGGCTGGGGGTTCAGCCACCCAAAGAGGGGCCAGAGGAGGGGGTGTGTTTGTGTGTGTGTGTGTGTGTGTGTGTATGGGGGGGGAGGCTTTCTGTTTCTCACTTCAAAAGCTAGAGCCACATCCTGAACAGCCACTGCCCTTTGCAGCGCACCTATGGAGAAAGGGAAGCGTCCGGAGGTCGGCCAGCTCCCCTCGGGCGTTCGCGGGAGATGAATCCAAACAGAAAATGTATCCTGTTGGGTCCAGGTCCTGATCCATGACAGGTGGAGAGCTGTGTCTCTGCTTACTCATAGGAAACAGCTGCCTCTCCTGCCTTGCCAGAAGTGCAGAGCAAATCTAGGTCAAGGCGTAAACAAAGCCTGGTGACTTTGCTTTCTCCAGCATCCCGTTAAGGATCTCTTTTCTCGTCTAATGATCACCTCCCAGCTAATGAGAGGATGGACTCAGTTAAAACCCAGTCGGGGAAAGGGGCAAGCCGAGTCTCCCCCACCTCTGCCCCTGTGCGAAGAGTTGCCTCCCACGTGGGGGAAGGTGGGGGGGCCCGGCACCCTTGAAGGGAGAGAGAGAGAGGGGGGGAACAGACGGGGTCCCCAAGGGGGCAAGAGCTCCCCGAGGCCCTCACGGCCGGCCAGGCCAGGCGGCTCCTGTCTTGGGGAGGTTCGGCCCCAGCTCTTGTCTCTCGCCTCCTGCCCAAGGCGGGCTGGGACCCTCTCCCTCACCGGGCCTGGATTTCCCAGGGGCAGCATTTCCTGCAGGTTTCCTGAGGTTTCAATGGGGCGGAAGGAGTGCCGGCCTGCCGGCCTGGAGAGCCATTGCTGGGGGGGGTGTGTGTGTGGAGAAGGGGAGGGGGTTGAACCGGCCACCCTCCCATCTCAGGTAGGGCTGCCCTCTCTGCATGTCCCAGCCTGTGATGTGCCTCCTTCTTCTCCCCCCCCACACCCCACATCTCTAGCTCATCCTGGGGCTCAGCCTCCTGGGGGGAAGAGGATGCCCGCCCGGAACCCTCCGAAAGGAGGCCAGGCAAAAGCTGCCCCCCCCTTCATTCATCCAGTCTTCACATTACGTGAGAGATCCACTTGCGGGCTCAGCAGCTGTTTACATCGGGAGATCTCTTGCCTTCAACCGGCTTGATGGTTATGATTCTGTCAACAGTGGCGGCTGCATCTTCCCTCCATCTGTCGTGCCCCCCCCCAACACACACACACACACACACACACACACACACACACACACACACACACACACACACACACACACCCACACACCCGCGCCC